GATAGAGAGATGTGATTGAGAGGTGCGGGGGTTTCAGTTCGATAGGAGATTATGCACCTCACAACCAATAAGAGACATCCTCTTTTCGATTCTGTCCTTCAGATATCGAGCATATAAGATCTTAACCTGGCACATGCCTGGGGAAATATCTCGGTTTGATATTCTAATTGTCTCTTATCTAGCCCCATCTGATCATTTACAATGACCAGTCATGCCCACGACCCCGAGCAAAACGAAGAGATCACCACACGAGAAAATGAGGCCAGACCTATCCTCAAGCGTACCATCGCGGGCCAAGACAACGCCAAAACGCAGGCAGTCATCTCCGAGCTTGTTCAAATAAGACGAGGGCTGAACCAACGTCACATTCAGATGATAGCCCTGGCTGGAACGATTGGTACTGGCCTCTTTCTAGCGACTGGAAAATCCCTAGCAAGGGGTGGGCCACTAAGCATGTTGCTCGCGTATGGCATTGTAGGCATGCTCATCTGCTGCGTGGTTTTTTCCGTAGCTGAGCTTAGTGCTCTGGCACCTCTTTCCGGTGGTATCATACGACACGCAGAATGGTTCGTTGACCCTGCGTTGGCGTTTGCGCAAGGTTGGAATAGTGTTTATGCCAATGCTATTCTGCTACCGGCTGAGATGGTGGCTTGTGCTGTCATTATTGACTTTTGGTCTCATATTAATCACGCCATATGGATTAGCGCCCTGGGCGCGCTGCTGGTTATTAGCAACATGCTATTGGTCAGCATTTACGGCGAGCTGGAGTTTGTTTTTGCAATGTTAAAGATTGCTCTAATTGTCGGTGTGAATATCTTGGTGAGCAGATCTCGCGCAAAGAATCTTTCCGGTTGGTTTCTGACTGCCTTTCGTATAGAGTATCTGCATCACATCTGGCGCAGGCCCACGGGGTTATCCCATGGGATTTCGATTTTGGCGAGACCCTGGACCCTTTGTGCAGTTTCTTGGTATCGATTCCTCATGGGGACGGTTCCTCGGGTTTTGGCGTGTTCTGAGCAGTGCAGCTTATGCATTTTCTAACGTCGAAAACATATCTGTTGCAGCAGCCGAGACGCAGAATCCTCGCCATAACATCCCCAAGGCCGCCAAACGTGTGTTCTGGAGAATCATGATATTTTATCTGATCACCATTTTCATGATGGGCCTAATTGTTCCCTCCAACGATACGGGCTTGATGTCAAATTCTGGGGATGCTGGAGCGTCTCCATTTGCGATAGCTGCCACTAATGTCGGGATCAAAGTGGTCCCTTCGATCATTAATGCTGTCGTTGTCACAAGTGCATGGAGCGCTGGTAACTCTGGTGAGTCGGGGTTTTCTATCGACAACTGTACTTCTGCTAACCCAAAGATAGCAATGCTCGTTGGAACCAGAACGCTATATGGTCTTGCTCAAGAGGGACATGCCCCAAGATTATTCACGCGCATCAATCGTTTCGGGGTTCCCTGGATATCAGTTTTCGCAGTGGGGTCTTTTCTTGCCTTGGGATATATGACGCTATCATCCGCAGCTTCTCTTGTGTTTGATTGGCTCCAGCAACTGGTCTCAGCTGCCTCATTAGTGCATTGGATCAATATAGAGGTGATCTACTTGAGGTTCTTTTATGGGTGTAAGAAGCAAAAGATCAACCGGACTGAGCTTCCCTGGAAAAGTCCCTTTCAACCTTACGCAGCATGGATTGCTCTGGTTTCGTTCAGTGTCATTCTACTTACTGGCGGATTCTACGTTTTTATCGAGGGTAACTGGAGCCCTCAAACCTTTGTATCGTCATACTTTAACATTCCTCTTATATTTGTCTTATATTTTGGGTACAAATTTTGGCGAAAGACCCGGGTTGTTCCATTGGAAGAAATTCCAATCCGTGAATTCCTTCACATCGCCAATGAAAATCCAGAACCCATCCCATCTCCAGCTTCTGGGTGGCGAAGATTAAACATCCTTTGGGCTTAATGTTGGGAAACTCGCAATGGAGGCCATGGGAGAAGGTAAAGATACGTTAGAAGCTCTAAATGGATCCATGATGTTACAATCTGTTCGTTAAAATTGTCCAAATGTACACATTATCCACCGGAACGCGTCTCAACCCATTCTTCTGGGGTCTAACCATTAACTATAGAGGGCAGACCGTTCTTACTCAATCCCGAATCGCCTAGCCACCTCTCGGAAGCCATCAGACTCAAGATCAACCCACATATCCACCCAGTCCTCTGTCTTAGCCTGTGCAGCCTGTTCCTTTGACCACTCTTCCTCCTGCTCACGCTCAACATAGATGGTCTGAAATCCACAGCTCTTGGCGGCCTTCAAATCCTCGAGATGCGCCGCAACCAGTCCGCACTGGCCTGGCTCCAGTCCAAACATCTTGGCAGCACCCTTATAAACCAGCGGAGAAGGCTTGTAAGCCTTGAAATTCTCCGCACTAACGAGATGCGTGAAAGGCATTGATCCATGTCGCTGGAGATCCTGTAGTAAAGAGACATTCCCATTTGACAGAGTAGAAGTGGCGAACCGACGGTTCAACCACTCAAGACCCCGGGCACTATCCGGCCACGGGTTGAGCCGGTGCCAGGCGAAAGATAGTTCCCACAACTTCTCGTCCGTAAACAGGCCGTCCAGACCACGCTGCCGCAAGAGGTCCTGAAGGGCATTGTAGTGGTGCTGATCGACTGACACAAACTCTTTGGATGGATCAAATGTACTGGTAAATTTATTGTAGGACTCCCGCCATTCTGCAACCAATGCTAGCCAGTTGTCCCAGGTCATGGCTGCAGCGCGGTCCTGAAGGTCGGCTATGAGGTCCTTGCGATAGTTCACAGTATACAGGGCGGCTGCGCTCAGCTCTTCCGTAACGCATACACGCCATGACACTACTGTGCCGAATACATCAAAAAATAACATCTGGGGTGGGTGGTCTGTCGACATTGTGGTTTAGTTGGAGATGGAGATGATCTATTTCCCCGCACTTTGGAGGTTATGTCGGTTTCCGAAGGATTCACAAAGTTGAGATCCCAGCTAGATATAGGTCAGGATGAAATCGACTTCATATATCAAAACCCGCAAATATGCTTAGTCAATGTTCCGAGGCCCCGGGACCGGTTAGTATACTTCGCGCAGTCCAATATGTGCGCAGCATGTGAAATACGTTAAAAGATTTCCAGATCTCACTGGATAACTTGAAAAGAGAAAGGGAACAGCTAGTGTTTTGCTTGGAAACTTGCGAAACATATGAGTGACCACGGTGGAATTCAAACATTCTGCCAATTCTTTGCCGCCTCTCAACTTCCTCAAAATGTTAACTCTCCGTACTCGGTACTTTGAACGCAACCCGTGTCACCTGCGCCTCTTTACAAAAATGCAAGGGCCGGTTAGCTAGCGGAGAAACAAAAAAGAACCAAATATGAATTGTCGACCTGTCAACGGCCAAGTCAAAAGTACAGAGCACGGAGTACCGCGTGTCCCCCTGAGGTGGGGGCAAATGGCTGGCAATGGTTCGCCGAGATTCCTTGCTCATCCCCGTTGTTAGTCCGATATTCCCTCTAAATTAGGGGGATAGCAGAGTCTAGACACTCCGGATACGAGAATAAAGCATTCATTGCCAATCATTGATTGTGCGCCACCAACTATACGGCACTTGCGACAGATGAGAACTCCAATCTCGAGGCCTTTCCCAAGTACTTACCGGATTTTTACATGTGGGATGTTCATCTCGGTGTGGATTCGAAGCTCTCTCGGTGGGGACCTTGAATGGGTCTGTTTTTACCCATTTTTACCCCTGATCCGCAATATCCGATGATTTGATCTATTTGTCTCCCTGGGCACAAAGAGGCGTCAAATATAACAACATGCAATACGCAACATGCACCCTGCAGATTCTGAAACCAGACCAACAAGCCTCTCATGCGAAATTATTTACGGCGATCGTCGCCCAAACAAGCGACAGGTTGGCCATTTAATTATATTCTCAAACACGCTAACAATCACTATTTTAGTGTCTTCGGAATCGACACTATTGGTCATTGCACTTTTTTTTTTTAACTTGCCTTGCACTCATCAAAAGAATAGGGGTGATCTTCCCTTGAGCTTCGAAGGCGTGGATTTTTTTGTCACCAACTACCCCAGGCAATTGATATATGAGATATTAAACTCATTTTCCTTTTTCAGCTTTCCGACTCTCTGCATTGCATCGGTTTTCTTTTTTACCTTTCTTTCTTTCTTTCTTTGTTCTGGAATAATCAGCATCTCCAGGGTCTTGGAGATATACGGAGTACAATACGTACTATATCTCGACAGCCATTTATAGCTATGCTTTAGTGGCAGCTGCAGTGGAGTCTTAATCCTCTGGCTAATCGGGTGGATTCTTTTCTTTCCCCATGTCTCCCCCTAACGAACACCCCTGGGCCTTTTTTCTTTCTTTTTTTTTTTTTTTGCGCCAATCCAATTCTCCTCGCGTCCAGTATTTCCGATATGCCGCAAGGCTGATCTGAGTTCCCCCAAGGTCTTTTCCATATAGGTCTAAGCTCTCAGATCATTGCGTAAAGATCTCAAGTCTCTAATCCTGATCAGCCCCTCGGACTGATCAATTTTCCCTCCCGGGATCGGCTATACCTCCCGGGTTGACATCTTGTCTCTTAAGCTAAAACGGGATCTGTTCACTATACGGAGTACTTTGTAAGTCGAGGGTCTCACTGCATGTCCAAATCTCGGCCCCTAAACGTGCAGCCCACACATCTTTGTAACTGTGGCTGACCTCTCCGTTCCAAGTTCCATTTTGAATAACCACCCTTCATCCCGCGTTCCACCAGTCGATTGCAGGTGAAATCTGTCTCCGAAAATCAGCACTTCAAACAGTTAATTGTCAGATGGTGGACGGTAGTCTTTTGATGGGATCCAGTGCGTGACGTGCTCTGGCTAGTCCAACGAGCAGAGGACCCCGGTGATGGTTTGATGGACTGAAGCTTTTTATCCGGCACATGCGCAAAGAGAGATGGCCGATTTACAGTCTCCAGCCTCCATGGCCCATCCGTCTCCGGCACCATCCTTCAGATCCAGATCGAGACCGTCTTTGCGCCGGCGAGATTCTTCCCCACCATCTTCCCCTCCACCTAGTCTCCCAACGCCCGCGTTCTCCCCCGATGGACAAACAGACGAAGATGATATCATCGAGGATACTTTGTCACCTTTCGATCCGCGCAGAATCACACCTACTCTCCATGCATCTCTAGTTTCGGAGATTCTCTCGCTGCGGCGGGAGATAGAGAACAAAACCAAGTCAATTGATGTATTGGAAGACAGCTTGGACCAATCAAGGACGGAAAATGAAACATTGACCGCCAATCTCTCCCAGGCAACCTGGGAAGGACGTTCGTTGAAACACCAAATCCAACTCCTGGAAGGTGGGACGTCATCTGCAATGACCGAGCTAGCTCGGGAGCGCGATGAAGCGGTCGAAAATATCGGCGATGTTCGTAAGAAGCTCGAGCAAGCACAGAAAAAAGCTCGAGGTCGGGAAGAGGACCTCGAACGAACCCAATTACTTTGGAGTCGCGACCAAGAGTCCTGGGCGGATGAGCGCCGAGCCCTGGAACGCAAGGTTCACGTAGTGGAGGGCCGCCTGAAGACCGTTTTGAACGAGGTCGCAGCCGCCCAGGAAGTGGCGACTAACCACTCATCACAGCCGAGTGAGAATGCTGATCATGACAAGAATAAAGAGAGCGACTCGGCCAGCGTGGCATCCAGTAGCCTAGGCCGCCGACGCACGAGCGTGACCAGCGTAAGCTCGGAAGAAGGTGAAGAGGCCGTCATATTCCATAGCATGCGGTACTCGGTTATGAGCGCTGCGCCTGGCGCCAAGAATGGTTCAGGCCTGAACCTGGCGGAGGAACTCGACTTTGACGAAGAGGATGAGTTTGGTCCATCCGATGATGACCTCCCCGTCTCTCCGGAGGCGCTCCCCGAAGAACGACCAATGTCGGTTCACTCACAGGGGTCGCATAGTATTTCTTCCAAGGCCAGGAGGATCCTGGGTCTGTCCCTTCAGAGTTCAGACTCACACTCACCCACTGCCATGGAGTTCCGTGCCCGGGATCTCGGGTTTGCTAGCTCGGTGAAACTTGACTCGGCGGTCGAATACCACGATATCGGCATCCAGTACTCACCTCCTCCGTCGCCTACGATAGAAGCGAAGGTTGTAGACATTGGTCCCGAGTCCAGGAAAATGGCTTCAGAACCCGAGAATGAAGACGACAACGCAAACATACCTGAAACAAAGGACGACGTCACGATCCCCTTTGCACCTCTGATGGTTTCTACATCTTGCCAAACAGTGGAGGAACTCCCAAGTCCTTCATGGGCACCCAATGTGACTGAGCCGCCTCAGCCTGTTAAATCAACACTAGAGCGGGTGCAAATGACATCGACCTCCACCCAGACTGATGTCCTTCCGGAAACAGATGTCCAAAGCGAGAATCGTATCAGTTTGTCGCCGAATAATGTCCCATCCAAGATGGACATTCCGATGATCGCCATCCATCCACCAGGCTCAGAGCCATCCTCACCTCGGAACAGTGTCGTTCTTCCACCGCAAACCAAGAATATCGCTTGCCAGGCCAACTTCCGGGCAATTGTTGATTGTCGATCCGTCGCCATCCAAACCGAGGAGATCCGTATCGATCAACGCTCTGTCAAACTTCCCGCCAGTCTTCTTCCTTCTGCTATTCAAGATGTCCTACCTCGCCCTGAACTTCAGGAACCTAGCCTTGAGTCTTACACTGCGCCCCCGCTTCCGCCACGGTCCGAAAAGCGTCAGAGGCGTCTAATAACAGATCACCCGATAGATCGTCCCGTGAAGCCTCCTAGAGCACCCGGCCCAGATCATGTGCAAGCCTACCCCGGTAACAACGACAATGGTCCACTCTCAGACGATGCCTTATCCAATATTCGACGACCGCTACGGTCTAGCAGTCTCTTCGCCGGTTTTGAACACAACAGCGACGATGAAGGTTCTCACGGCGAACGTGATGTCTTCACGGACGATGAGCTCCTCAACCGTCCATTTGCTGCATACACTGTCAGCCGTGGCAAACTCATCACTTCAAAATCAAGACCTAGTTTGGACGACATGGCTCTTCCCGAAGTTGCCGAGCAGCTGTCCTCTCCCGAGTCAAGGCCACCCGATATTGGCCGTTCTCGAGCCTCCCAACGGTCTGGCACGGCCTCCTCGAGTATTCGCCAGCCCGGCATGCGCAAAATGGCCATAATCTCCAGTGGAACTGCTACACACCAGAAGCCCCGTGCCCGCAGTCCCAGCGAACCAAGTCTCGAGAGCGGCAGTGCAGGCTCAAGTATTGCACCACCGTTCCCCGTGCCCATGCGTCTAAGCTCACGCAAACTCCCGCTCAACGGCAGCGACGGGCCCCCAAGTCCTACTCGCTCAGCCGGCAGACAGTTCTCAGACCGCGGTCGGCAACCCGTCGTCCGGCGCCCAACCCTCCGCCGAGTGCGATCTGCTGCAGCAACATCACAATCGGAACTTACCGAGGGACCAGAAACTCGTTCTTCTCCGTCACGATCCATTTCGACCTTTTCCCCAGAAAGTCCCACATACCGACCATACCGACCACCGCCGATGCCGTGTGATGAGATCACAGCACCTCGTGAGCGGTACGGGGCCCCGAAACGCGCCTCGCATCGTACGACTCCGTCTCAAACTTGGAATGGTGAACAACGTGAAAGAAAGGATTCTACCGGCGGCGTGCAGCCGACTAGTGTCGTCGATGCCATTGCTCAAACCATGGTTGGCGAGTGGATGTTTAAGTACGTCCGTCGACGCAAATCATTCGGGATGGGCGAGTCCAAGGAGATTTGGGAGGGCAAGAACCCCGACGATGTGTCGGCAAATATCACGAACAGTGGTGTGCGACATAAGCGATGGGTTTGGCTCGCCCCTTACGAAGGCTCCATTATGTGGAGTAGTAAACAGCCTACCAGTGGGCCTGCATTGCTCGGCAAGAGTGGTCGGAAGTGTTAGTCTTCAAGGAACTCATTTGACTTGGTTCGAGTAGCAGCTAACGGATAATTTTCCTTCGTTATAGTCACCATTCAATCCGTCCTGGACGTCAAAGACGACAACCCCCTACCCAAAGGCGCCGACCCTTCGATCCCATTTAACCGTTCCATCCTGGTGCTGACACCACAGCGCGCTCTGAAATTCACAGCGCTAACCGTCGAACGCCACTACGTCTGGCTAACGGCCCTATCCTTCCTCAGCCATTCCTCAATGGGCCTACAAGAACTTGCAGCCCTACCTCCAGTCCCCCAAGAAGAATCCCCAACCCTACCCCACGCCTTCCACCGTCGAAACCCAATTCGCGACTCCATCCGTGTCGCAAAAGGCCGTCCCCGCCCAATGCCAAAGGGCAAGCGCTCCTTCAACAGCGCCGGCGCTCCAGCCCCAGTCCCAGAACTCCCAGGTGGCAGTATCGATTTAGCAGCCGACGCACCACATGTGCCCCGTTTCTCATCTCACAACCGCAAACGCAGTAACACCGCACCCCGGGCCCCGGCCCTTCACGCTCTCCGCAGCTTCTCCAGCGCCGGCACGATGCCCTCTTCACACAGCGGCACCACAGCTGGCTCCCCAGACCTCCACTTCCCCGCCATGCAGCCCCCACCGCCGGGGATTGGAAGCCGCCGCAGCAGTATTAGTCGACGCACTTCCGAGGCGAGTGGCCGTGCTCCCAGCGTGTCGGGCAGCAACATGTTCGATATAGGCACTGTGCGTATGGAGGCTTTCATCGATCACCACGCAGAACAAATTAATCGCCCCCGTCCGCCTCCGCGCCAGCGCCATACCCGCAAAACTTCCAGTCAATGGAGTGAGAGGCGGTATGAGTTTGACACGCCTTCGGTTCAGGGCAGCGAGTTCTCATACCGTCCTGAAGATCCATGGCGGGGGTTCTAATACTAGAGTGGATGAGTTGCTCTTACCCCTTCTCTACCTTTTGTCTCCCTTTCTTTTTTCTTCCTTATTACTTACGATATACCTATTCTTTCTATTTTTTGAACAACATACCCTTTTTGGCGCAGGTTCATCGCCATGTCTCTCCATGACTTGTCTACGTACATCGTCACTGGATATATTCATCTTCTATTTTGTCACTATCACCTATTTGTGTTTATTCTCTGCCTTACTCACCTCACACATCTACCTGTCATTTGCCACTTATCACTTTCGAGTTGATACCACTTTGATTTGGATACCATTTCTCGTGCAGCGGGAGGGAGAAGAGCGTTTCTCTTTTTTTGGGGGGCGGGGGGAGCATTTCAACTATCAACCCAGCTGATCCTGGATATATATATTGAATCTTCGGGTTTATATGTCTGAACATAATGTATAAGTGTTTTGTCGGGAGCAAGAAATGAAGCTTTCTGTAGTATCAACCACCAACCTATATTATTCTCTATTCTCTATTCTCCATTCTATTCATGCCTGTAGTAAAATGGTGTTCACAAAGCAAGATAATCAATCTCGAATCGCGGGTATAACGTTCGCTAGTGGAGTAAATACAACATGGTGACATCTCTGTGATATACCGTCAACCGGGGGTTTCCCGCAGTGGGCTGATCCTCCCCAAACCACAACACTCAAATCTATCATTTCTTTCATTTTCCAATAGATTATTCACAGCTTCGCGGCATCCTTGACTTCGCCGATCTTCAGTTTGGGCGAGTACTTCTTCAGCACGGATTCGTTGTGATACTAAGCCGATGTTAGTTGTTTTGTTTTCAATGGCCGACCCGGCAATCGGCCGAGAGTCGATTGCCGATAACAACAATAACTTCTTTTGAAGAGCAAATAAATACGTACCTTCCAAAACTGCTTCGAAGCATCCTTGCCCGCTACACGCTTGAGGATCTTTGCACCGCCGGGGTGTTCATCGGCAAACTTCGTTACATCGAAGACATTGTTGTCAATGATGATGTAGAGGCCCTCTTCGGCGGTTTTGTGGGCAGCCACCTCGGTGGGGGTGAATTTTTGAGACATTTTGCAGGTTAAATGAGAAAGGATGGAAACAAGAGATTGAAAGGAGGAATAAGTAGTTCCGTGAGGTATAAAATTCCGAAGTCTGGGGGAAAGCGGAGAGAACCGAGGTTCGGCGGATTTGCCGCGGTTTGAATTACCCGGGCGGTGATTGGTTGAAATTGAGGCCTGAGGTATTTGAATATATGACTAAGCTATTCCATATGCTCTTCATATCTACTCTCGGCTCTTCTCCCCAGCCGCACCCTGCCCCTTCGGCACCTTGCGATCCAACCCCAGACTCTCTAAGTCCTTCTTCTTATAGTAATGTGGCGCAACCTCAACCAGCCACTCCGGCTGCAGTGGCATATTACTGCGCATGTACTCCTTGCTGGTAAGTACCAACTCATAGTAGATGACCCAGCGAGGGTTAACCTCCATAAGCGTACTAGAAGGGTGCAAGTACACCGACTGTCCATTCTTGATAGTACGATAACTGTCACCGCCGCGCTGGAGCCGCGCCGCGTTGGGGAAGAACCCAGCCGTGATGGCCTTCTGGATTGGCTGGATATTTGTAGACCCACAAGTACTAACGGCGACCTCGACGCGGTCGCACAGTTTGGCGAGCTGGTCGCGCACATCACGCGCCCGTGTCAGACTGCGCTGCTGCAGGAAGTTCTCCTTCGCCCAGATTACGCTAAAGTCCGAGTCGACCCATTGGTTCCAGACGTTCAGTAGCGTCAGGTGGTCACCTCCGTCCTTGATAGTGAACCGGTTGCGCGCACTGTCCGCGTGGATCTTCTTGTCCTTAGGTCGGAAGAAGAGTGCGCTGCCTTCGCCGAGCATCGACACGATCGACAGCACTTCTTCAACGCACCCATACTTATCGGCGGCAAGGATCGCCTTGGCGAGCATGGGGTCTGTTGGGAACTCGGCCATCTGTCGGCCGACCTTGGTCAGTTCGCCTCGGTCGTTGAGCGCCCCGAGCGCATACAACTGCTCTAGAGCGCGGATAATGGTCTCTGCCGGCGGTGGGTCCATGAAGTCGAAGTCGAGTAGTTGGTCGATTCCCAGCGACTTAAGCATCAGAATCACTCCGTTCAAGTTGGTGCGTTGAATCTCCGGGGTGGTGTTTTCTTCCAGCTCGTTGTAGTACGCCCACTTGGTATACAGGCGGAAACACTTGCCCGGTCCAACACGTCCGGCACGTCCGGCTCGCTGGTTGGCCGAGGCACGCGAACACGGCGTCACGACCAAGCTCTCCATTCCGCTTCGTGGGTTGAACACGTTCTCCTTGACGAATCCGGGGTCAATCACGTAGACAATACCATCTATGGTCAAACTAGTCTCGGCAATATTGGTGGCAAGCACCACTTTTCGCGCATTAGGGGGAGTAGGCTCGAAAATCTTAGTCTGCAGTTCGGACGGGAGGTTGGCGTAGATAGGAGCAATAATCATCTCCGGAATCTTACTCCCAAGTTTGCGAGCCGTTTCCTGTAAACTTTGCTCGGCCGCCTCGATTTCTTCTTGTCCAGTCAAAAAGACCAGAATATCACCAGGGCCTTGAGTGACGTGGATCTGGAAGACAGTTGTAATGGCTGCAGCGAGGTAGTTGGCTTCAGGCTGCGAAGTGTAGTGCACGTCGACAGGGTATCGGCGACCAGGAATATTAAAAATGGGCGCATCGTCGAAATACTTCTGGAACTTCTGCGCGTCCATCGTCGCCGAGGAAATGAGCAGCTTCAGATCAGGTCGTGCCTTGGCAATATCCTTGAGCAGACCGCAGGCAATATCTGTCGGCACGGTCCGTTCGTGCGCCTCGTCAATCATCAAGGCCGCATACTGGCTCAAGTCCGGCTCTGTCAACAGCTCCCGCAGCAACATTCCATCGGTCATATACTTGAGAATGGTCTTGTCGCTGGTGTTATCTTCAAATCGGATGGCATAACCAACTTCATTTCCGATCTTCGTGCCCATTTCGTCCGCCACACGAGCAGCGACACTCATGGCAGCCACCCGTCGCGGCTGTGTGCAACCAATCTTGAGGCCATCCTTGGTATAGCCAGCTTCGTGAAGGTACTGCGGGATCTGTGTTGTTTTTCCGGAACCGGTTTCACCAACGATAATCAAAACTTGATGCTCTGCCACAGCCTGGATGATCTGATCACGGAATTGATAGATGGGCAAACTCTTGCGGGTTTCATCCATCGAGAGAGCTTTCTTCTCCGCTGCATCGACCTGCTCCTTGAACCGCAACTGTTCTTTCGTCATTGGCTTTTGCGTGCCCTCGAGTTTGGTGTCCATAACAAAATTGATCTGCTGCGAATCATCGAAGACATACTCGTAGTCTCCCTCATCCACGAACTCGGCCTTTTTAATCTGTGCCTTGGCCTTGGCCGCCTGCTCCAGCTCCCACTCCTCGTGCTCCGTGACGAATCGTTCCTGGCCCAGCTCATCACGCTCGACGTATCGCTTGTACAGAGCTTCTTCCTTCTTCTTTCGGTCGATCTTCCCCTTCTCCGTAATATAATCAGATGGCATCTGATAACCATCACGATGGTCGTCGATCCGAAGCCGTTCCTCGGCGAGACGAAGAACCTCTCGGTTGCGCGCGAACTCCTCCTTCTCCTTGCGAGACAGATTCGGGTTGTCACGCAACTCCGTGGTCTCCTCTACAACCTGTCGTCGCAGCAGTGCTAACCGTTCTGTCTCACGCTTCTTCAAATATTCTTGTCGAGACCTTTCTCGAAGATCGGGCATCATCGAAGCCCGCGCGCTGGCATCGTCGCCCAGTGCACGTCGCCGTGCAGCCTCGCCATCGCGTGTCCGATCCTCGACAACCTTCTTCGACTTGGTGCTTTCCTTATTGGCTAGTCGTTTGGCAAACTCGTCTCGTTCGCGAAGATCTCGTTGGCGATCAATTTCTTGCTTGGTTTTAGGGTCGATATCGATATCGTCGGCCGGTGACGCGGGATTGGGAGACGCGGAACCTTCGTCGAGCCTCGTGCGCTTTGAGGGGGATTCTTCGAACTCCTCCGGGTACATCTCGTCTTCGGGGATGTCTTCGTCGCCCCATTGATCGTCAAAGTCCTGCGAGCCCTTCTTGCGGAGTTTCCTCGTCCGGGGCCGGTCGCGGCTCTCTGCATCGCGGCTTCGGTCTCGCTTTCTGCTGTCGTCCTTTTCCCCGCGACTCCGAGGCTCGGAGTCTCGCTTGCTGCTGCTCCTATCCTTGTCGCTATCTCTGTCCCGTCTCCTCCGCGGCTCTCGGTCTGCCTCGACGTTGGTGGGCCCTAGTGATGGGGCAGGTCCTGGCTGGTCTTCGCCCATGTCTACCAGGCGGTATTTCTTTTTCGTAGATTCCGTGCTCGCCGGGTGTTTGGGGGTCGATGCGCTGGGCTGCGCGCCCTTGCCCATACGAGCATGGAGCTCGCGAGCAAATGCACCAATTTCAGCTGAGCTAGCATCTACGCCGTCCAGGAATGACACAAGGGTGTCTTGGAGGGAGGAGGTCGACTTGGCTGAGCTGGCAGTCGCGAGCACGAAATCGATGATGGTGGGTTCTGACGCGCCCGTTAGGCGGATGAGATTATCCGACACGAAATTATTAATGTCCATAGTGCGTGGTATGGACTGTTATGGGAGAGAATAGAAGGTTGGGAAGCTTCGGGTGGAGAGGTAAAGTGTAGTTATTGTCGGAGTGTCTTAGAGTCGCATGTTGCACAAGGTGTAAAGGTTTAATAAATTAAGCTTAAGGAGAAAAGGGCTTGCAAGCAGCAAAAGATCAAAAAAGATTAAAGGTTGGAAGAAGTTGGAGAAGTTTGCGCCAAGAAATCCCGTGGCAATTCCGAAATATATATTTGACTCCTACAAAAGTAGCGTACATATACATCAACAGTAAATATATACAACTCGATAAGAACTACAGAGTACAAGAGCCTGCT